ACCGTACCACCCTAGCACAGGTCCAGCCTGGTTACGCCGACTCGCCTGCTCTTGTAGAGGATACATGGATCCATCAGGGCCGGCGCGCAGGGGTACGATCGTGTTGATCGCACCAATTGCCTCCACATGGCGGCTTTTCGCCGCGAGCTTATGTGATAGTTGTACTCTCCAAGGCTGAACCACACTTGACCCTCCAAAATGCGAATCCCTGCCCAACCGATCCATGATTGCAAGCGAGGGCGAGTCCGGTATGGTATAAGTATGGCTCATGCCACAGTGGCGGAAAGCAGCGTTGTGCATTGCAGGGGACAGACTGTATGCGACATTACCTCCGAGGATGAAGAACTGGAGCGGGTCCAGGACGTAACTTTGGAACAAGGCCTGAACTGCGTCACGAGAAGTGATCTGCGGGTCTCGCTCGTTGTCGGAAGACCTTTCGATTGCTGGGTGAGTTACAGATGTGAGGATAGAATTGAACACTTGCGAGGTGCGGCCAAGACGGCCAATGTTGTATGCGATAACCGGTGGATGTTCGCCGGGCAAGGCATGAACCTTGTTTGTAAATTTAGCAACCGCTGCGTTATCCTCACGCGACGTAGCCACTCGAAGAAAGCGAACGAGCTGACACCCCAGCTTCTCGGCTTCAGAATAGAGGGAAAGGCATTCTTCGCTCTCCCATGTCTCTGGCGCAGAAGGTTCGAATATGCGTTGACCAATAATCTTTGTGTTGCCTCTGGTACGGATTGCCTCCTCCACTCGGGACCGTTCCTGGCTCAAGTCCACGGCCAGATATTCAACCGCCAGCCGTAGAGCATGTTCCACAATAGTGAAGTATAAAGTGTTCACCTTTGTAGCAGACAAATCACCTCTAGCAATTCCGGTGGAGGATTTATCTATTGAGATTATGATGGGCGTACGAGCATTCCTCCGGAGTAGAGCGACCTGCTTGCTGAGAGTTGCTGTCAATCCCGTGCTCCAGCGGTCAACACACAGCTCAATGGCATCACCTCCTGACTCAAGCTCCTGCAGTTTGACATTGCCTTCTGCCAGGTCGGAAGATCGTACAAAAATGGCATGGGTGAAGGACCGGAGTTCCGGGGGGGTCTCAAGCAGGACAAAAGGCGAGTCATAACTGGTGTGTCCTACATCGGTGCCAGTCACGAAACGCACGAAGCGCGTGAAGTCCTCTTTCGCTTCTTTCAACTTGAAGGAATAATCAACGCATCGTCGGTCCGGCGATCCCTCATCCGTCTGGGAAGCGATACTGGAATGATCTTCAACATTGTAGAACTCGAAATTCGAGCATGTTCTGTGTAGGGGATCGCCCTCGGCAAGGAGTTTGACCGACTGCTCCTCCAGGCCTAATAGGCTTTGAATGCGATCCATGTCGCGAACTATGTATACAATGGGATTGGTAGCAGAATAGTGACGAAGGTGCTCTTGAACCGGACGGGTAAGGCTGCCGAGACCGCATTCAATCACACAACGTGAGCGGTGGTTGTCAAGCATTGACTTGAGGACTTCGACATCGCGTTGCTGGAATTCCTGACTTCCATAGCGCTTGAGGTACTCATGTCTGGTATGTCCGGTCACTTCCTTAAAATAGTGGTCTTCCGTGATGAACCGCCGTTTCAACGCAGTGGCAGCGACAAATCCCAGAGACCGCTTTCCGCATCCCCGGATGCCCACAAGCACCAGAGAGGCATCAGGATCGAATCTCCGGCGCTTATCTACCGGGGATATCTTGTGCATTGTGGACGTTTACGTGGATCAGTGGGACGGAGGTCTTGTGTGGTCGGTGCGCGGGAAGCAAGACCGTCCGCTGCAGAAAGTCTAAGTTGCTAAGAGCAACGATTAATCAAGGTGATATCAGCAGTGTATCCGAAGCAACCCAATGAGGACCAATCATCTGCACTCCGTCATATTCGAAGTGGCCATGCTTCAATTGAGGGAGGATAGCGTTGTCGAGGGCCGCTTTTTAATCTTTTTTTTCCCTGTGACTGAAGCGGAGAAGCTAGTATACCGGGGAAGATGGCGGGGGTGAGGAAATGGTGACTAGCTTTTGCTAGCTATCGGGCGGAGGCGGAGTGCAGTAAGTGCGGCAGGGACAAAGGCGGTCAATTGGCGCAGCACCTGGCATGCCTGCGAGGGCAGCAATGGGACGGAAACGTGTTGAAGCAGGCTGGGCAAGCAGGCGTGATTGGTTTGCTGGGGCAAAGGCAACCGGGGGGCGCTGGAGAAAGTGTGATTATAACAGAACCAAAGGATGACAGTTGGGGGACCATGGCAAGAATGCTCGGTTGCGGCCATCAGCCACCGGAGTCCCAAAGGGTTCGCGGGTTCAGCATCTCCAGCCGCATTGCCGGACCATCGCATCTGCCATGAGTGACCGCCTGCCCTCCAGGCTGTTGGCGGATAAGTCAATACCCGGATAGACGATCTCCATCCGCGGGACTCTCCGTAATCCGTATACGACATAGATTGGCCTGAGTGTCACCCCCGATCCATCGGTAGCCACCTACTCAATTAGTCTCTTCAACCGCATGCTAGTATTTATCATTAATCAATAAGCATGCATCCCTGATAAGTAAACCGACCCCATTCTCCAGGCAGAAACAAAACGCCTGTTTAGCGGGCGTGCGATGGGCTAATAGGTGGGTAGCCAGCAGCTGCGAAAACGATGGTAATCCAATCAATAGAAAAAATGGTTCTGTCAAATCCGGGTCAATCTGTGCCTACATCACTCTAAACTCTAGCACGCCGGCCCATTAGCCCAGTAGCATTGAATCGAATGTATATGCTTAAACTTGAATGGAGTATAGTGAGTGGTACTACTGTATCACTTCGCGTCACCGGGGTAAGGACCCTGCACGATTATTCGGACCCGATGGGTATACCGACGCCCGGAGGCCTGGGACTGATGAACCCTTGAAGATGTATATCTCCTCCATCTGCATGACTACCGAGTCGGGATGCCGGATCTTTTGCCGGATCCGCGAATGATCTGAAGGTCATTATTCAGTAGCCGAGTCAAGAGCTTGACACGGACAGTGAGCATGCTGAAGAGAAGGATGTACCAGGAAGGGTGTCGGACCCCTGGAACCGGCGAATCAGAAGTCAAAATGGGTCGGTTAGTTCGGAGTGCCACAACAGACAGTAAACTAGTCGTGGTTTGGATTCTTCTTGGGCTCGACGCCTTTGTGGGGTGGACTTTACGGTTGGTCCGCCGACAGCGGAACGGCCGGTTTTCGGCGGTTCCTATCTGCTCAGTGATTGGGCTAGTGGGTTTCGAGTTTGATAATTAGGAAGACGGTTGGGCGCCCTTTTCGTCTATCCATTAGGTGATAGTAGATAGCCACAGACAATGGAGGTTTGAAGTCAGCATTGAGGACCCATGATTCGTAACTAGTCAGGACATAATGATGGCCACAGATGGGGGAACTAAGAAAGCAGGAACATCATCGGTTCGAAAGCTTAGATGTACGCTATTCTTGTCCTCTAGACTTATTGTGATTAGTTCCTTCGGACGCGAAAGATAATAATAGGAACTGGTAGGTGGTTGGTTACGCGGATTATTGATGCGAAGAATTCTTGGCTGATTGACACGGTTCAAGAGAATGCTATTTTTGTGAGTCGCTAGGAACAGAGGAGGCTGAGCCTGAGGAAGTTATTATTATCAGACAACACTAAATATTGGGGGGGGTGTGATCATTGATGGAGTATGGATTATGGAGAGAGGGAGCGAGCACGAATCCCACCGAGCCAAGACGGCGAAGGACGGCGGAAGTCTCGGTTTCTCCTGCAGCCAAAAGGTGCAGGGACTGTGTAGGGGGAAGCAGTTGGGAGGAAAGTCTCCCACACCGCGTCGTGGAGAAGCCGTGGGGATCCGGTGTGGGGTGCTAGCCTCAGGCACAACATGGCCTTCCGTTTTGAGGAGAATCTCACCACACGAAAAGTGGGAATTTTTGGGTAAAAAAAACCTTTTTTGGCACTATTATCTAGGTTATCTCGATTTTCTTACTGTTTTAAGAATAGAAAAAGAATTTTTATTTTCTTCTTATGTGATTTACTATCATTTATTATTATTACTTTTTTCCTTAGCATTGAATTCTGGAAAATCGTTGCAGCTGCCAATCTCAGTCCCGACGGAACCCAAAACTCACCCGGAAAAAGGCGACTAAACCCAACCATCATCCACTAAGTAACTCACTAAAGACAGAGTAAACTAGTAGTCAACTTTTTTTGAATTGTTTTATTTTATTTATTATTCGATTTTATTTTTCCAATTTTTTGCTCATCCCGAAGTTTTTGCCCCGATCTTTCCCTTCCCCTCCTTCTCCCGTCCCTTGTATTTTCCCCCGTTGCGGTCCCTTCAACTTGCAGCTCGTAGTGTATTTTTTTTCCTTTCTTCTTTTACACTTTCCCGGATCCCTTTCTAAACTTGGTTGCCTCAGGATGGGTCTGGGCCGATGCACAACTCCATATTGGATTGGATGGACCAAGGAGATTCAACAGCGAGACCCTGAGGTGGCTGTGGTAGCTATCATCCATCTTTAGACTCATTGGATTCTTGCGTAATACTACTTGCCATCGCTTTTCTTGACAAGTTCTTTTCCGATTGCGTCTGGGGGACCCGAGGGTCTTGTTTTATAACAGACGGGCATGCACTGCGGGATAACCTTTTCGGCTTGCTCCAATCCCTCCGCCGCGGTCCCTTTCTCGGCTTGCCTGGCGACTACTACTACTACGTACTTACTTACCTACGACTATTACCTTAACCTTCCCAGGTTACTTGAACTTTACACTTCCTATTCCTATTATTCCCTACTGGACTGACCTGAAAACTGCCTTTTCCGTCACGCCTTTTTTTACCTTCCCCCTTCTGGTCGGTGTCATTTCTGGGAGGCCCGACCACCTTTCGCTCGCTACCTTCTTCTCTTCTTTCCTCTCTTTTTCCTGCTTTCATGACATGCCATATCTTTTTTAATTAACCCTCTCCCATGGACGAGGGTTCCGATTCTAAAGCCCCTCGACGGAAGAGGGTGTCGAGAGCCTGTGATCGCTGTCGAAGTAAAAAGGTCAGTTAGAATCAATCAATCAATTAATTAATACCTTTTCTTTTGGCTTCTCTGCTTCTTCCCTCTCCCCACTCTTTTATAGATTTTGCCCTTCCTATTCTCCATCTCCATCTTTCTCTTGCTTTTAGCCCGATCGGTGCAATTCAACCCCGAACTGCAGGTGGTTTTTCATTCTGTACTCGGTAATGTTCGGGGCGGCGTTCTTGCGTCACGTCACGTACTTGCCCGTTTTCGGTGCTTGTTATCGCCTCGGAGCTGCAGCTCAGCTGCCCACTGCCGTTTCAATTGGCCATCTACTCTCCTTCTTTCCTACTTCCTCAACTTAACATCCTGGATCTGCTTGCCCCTTCACTTTCATTCCCACCCTCCATGCTGACAATGACCTCCAACTTTTAGGACAAGTGCGATGGACTACGTCCCGCTTGTTCGGCCTGCCAGGCTTCAGGCCAGACCTGCTCATATGATCCCCATGCTAAGAAGCGCGGGTTACCAGAGGGCTATGTTCGTGGCCTGGAGAAGCTCTGGGCCTTGTCCATCTGCAATATCGATGGCTTCGAAGACACAATGCTAACTCTACTGGGGACCACCGCCGAATCAGCTGGTCGGAGACAGAAGCTCATGTCCTTATGGACGGATGATGGCGCGTCAGAGACACTGCATGAATCTTGGAAAACCAGTCGTCTATATGGGGCGCTCGAGAAGATGCTGTCTAACTCTGAGCCAGTCACGGAGAGCTCAGGAAAGCGCTCTCGGGAAGACCATGATGACGGCACCGGAAGTGAATGGGGATTCCGCATCGACCGTAGTTCGACTCCTCTCGCTCATGATGCTCCGCGTGTTGTTGAGCCTTCCACCTCTCCCCATGCTAAAAGGCCCCGGCTGGCCGCTCCCACAGACAGCAGAATAACGTCGTATACCGCCAGCGCTACGAATGCCCTACAATTACCCCCGCAGACCTCGCAGTTGTTGGACGTCTATTTCGCAGTCACTCACTCGTGGTTCCCAATCGTCGCAAAACACAACATCTTACGAGCATCGTACCTGTATGCAAGCGCGCCGCTATCTGTCGCAAAAATGGCCCCAGGTTCGGGCGACCACGCCGCATTGTGGGCCTTGCTCAGTTATACCATTTCGCAATCTCGGGTTAACCCGCAGGACGGGGCGTTGGAAGCGCTTTCGAAAACCAAGGAGTATTACTCGGTAGCTCGAAGCTTGATTCCTTCTGAAACGGAGCGGTTCGAGCTTGGACATGTGCAGGCACTGTTGCTGCTGACGTTGGTGAACATCGGCCTGGAGGACTGGACTGCTGCCTGGCTGTTGAGTGGCCAGGCTGTTCGCATGGCCATTTCGATGGACCTTGGAGCCTTCATGGACGTTCGACGATCGGACGAGTTGAGGCAAGGAAAGGCGGTTTTCCTTGGGTGTTTTGTGATTGACTCGTTGCTTTCGTTCCGTTTGTCGAGGAGACCGTGCATGCATCCTCGTGATCTCATCATGGTCGGGCTGTTGGAAGAAGATGGCTTGGAAGAGTGGAACTCATGGTCGGATGTCTTGCCACCTACGGGGGCTGGACAAGGGAAGAGCCCTCCTCGACGGGGTCCGCTGCTCGCTCTAAGCTGCTTCAATCGACTAGTCGAGTTAGCCGGTGTACTGAATAAGATTGCTCGCGACTCCACGGCCGGACCAAACGCACCCTTATTTGCACAACAATTAGTCATGGAGCTTAAGCAATGGGATGATCGTCTTCCTCTTGGATGTCGCTTGATTGGCCCAGAAAGTATCTATCCGGAACGACACTCGGCCTTGCTCCCGCACCAGAGCTACCTTGGCCTGACATATGTGGCTACGCTTCTGTGGCTTTATCTGCGCATTGCGCCTCAGGAGCTTGGGCTGCATCGCTCTCAACGGCCGGCTATCGAAGGAGCCAAGAAACTCCTTTATAGAGCCCTTCCAATGGTGTCCCAGCACCTTGATAACTTTCAGGTTTGCGGTTTGCCGCCGATATTCGAGCTTTCTTTGCGCACTATCGCCGAACAAGCGTTCACTCTGCGCAATAAAATCGAATCCGACATGTTCCCTTTCGGACGGTGGACTGAAGCGCTCCTTCAGCGAACCACGGAGCTTAGTTCAACTTGGCCAGTGTATCGCTCATTGTCTGCTTCCATCGATCACTGGTACCGTTCTAAAGATCTCCCCGGAAACCCTGCTCTATCCTATCAACCACCAGAGGCAGGATCAGCACCCGGAATGGCTAGCAGTATGACCAGTACTGCACTACCCCCTGGGTCTATGGCAACATCGGCGGCAGGGTATCCGAACATAATGGGCGAGCCTACGATGAACCCTCACATGAGAAGGACTGCACCTGGAATGGGGGATTCCGATTATACATCTGCCATTATGGGCATCACTATCCCTGTCGACGGACAGTACATGACGCCAAAAGATCCCACGGTGGAAAATCCTGATTTATCCATGATGGACGTGTCCTTCCAACAAACCTTGGACGGGCGAACGGCACACATGGACAAGTCCGAGCCTGCTGCTGCTCTGAATGCAGCATTACCGCGGGGCCCGCGCCCCCATCCGTCTACACCCGACTCTGGCGTGTCGAGTTCGATGATGTCGGTCACCGGCCCGGGCGTTATACACGAACGTTCTGTACCTTCCGGGGATAGGAGCTCGGATACGACAGAGCGTATCGGGTCAACCGGCGACATTGACGCCATCTTCAAGGATCTTGCATATCTCGACACCACAGAGTGGGCTAACAATCGCGAGGCCGCGCTGAAGGATTTCGGATTTATTGACGAGAGTACATTCCAGGCTTTCTGCCATGACCCAGACCGACTCGCTGGGACTCAGCCGTTGGTACATCCCCCGTCGATTGCCGACATTTGGCCGCCACCGGGCTTTTTCCCGGAGACGTTTCGTGACACTACGGAAGATGTGATGGAGGGTTGAGTGGCCGTTTTTTCATTTCTTTACATCTTGCTTTTGACCAAGCAGAGGTCGAAGGGACCTTCATAGGGACTTATCCCCATTTCTGATATATATGGAAAACTTTCACGAATCTCTGTTTTCCGCTATGTATGATGGTGGTGCTATCAACGCACGCATCACCCTTTTTTTGCCATCTCTCTTGTTCCTTGTTGATGATACCCAATGTAAGTAACACATTACAAAGAAGACCGAAGTCGACTAGTGGATTTCAATCATGATGCTGATAGTCCTCGTTACAGTCCAGAAAACCTCGAATGCAACAGGGAGTTAGGATTTTAGGTATCTAGGAGTTGGTTATTGCTATTGGTGCATGCATATACATCGTCGCAAACCCTGATATTGAGGGTCTGTGGCTCGTGAGCCCACGTTTACAATAAAATGGTCTCATTCAACCATCGTTCAACATTCTCCACCACCCCTGAATACGCTCGACCTCCGAGTTGAGCCAGCCAGCCAGCCCACTTCTAGCCTTCCTGACGTAACATTGAACACGACGTGATCCGGTTTCAGACCCGCTTTGTCTAAACTAAAAAGCACGGTCTTCCTTGCATCCGTGCCTAGTAGATATCTAGTAGCTACTCCGTAGTAGAAAAGTAGCAAAGTACCTTGTTGGTATGCACTAATCCCCACCAACGATTAGGCACCGATGCTTATTCCCTTATAGCACCTCCTGCTATTAATCAATCCACCGCGAGCTAACCAACCACTTGTACCATTTTACAAAGTACATGCATTAGTAGTTGACTAATTACCTCTTTCCATGATTCAATCCTTGCTCTCATTCCATCTTCTAGTCCAAATTCGCAGGTTTATGCCGCATTTCTCTCCTATCTTACCGGCCCCCCACCTTCCCAGGCAAATTACACAGTAAACCTGTCTGCCTTCTTTCACCTCTCTTCCGATTGGTACTTGGGAATTGGTGTTGTTCATTTCCAGATGAGAATACTTCCAAAGTACCTTGCTTTCTATAGGTTCGCTTTCCTGGATATCTTTTTAGATACGGAAAAGAAGTATCTAATTCTCACAAAGACGAACTACTTGTGAACAGGTGTTATCGCTATTTTCTCTGTCCATATACATATTTCATATCTTTATTGCTCGAATATGGTAGTCTGAGAGTTCTGTCTATGGTTGGTGTCTTCGATGGGGTGCAGGTTGGTAAGTAGGCACCACTCTTGGTTCGGTAGCAAAGGTAGTGAAACTGGTACCTGTGTGCTGCGTGAGCATGAGCTGGTAGGTAGCTATGGTTTTTAAGGTTGTGGTAGCATACTTGGTGTTTGTTGACGGAACTACTTAATGGAGTTGAGTGAGAAATGCGATAGTCTAATATGTATAGAAGGATATTCTGAGGTGTAACATGTTGTACACTACTAAAATGGAAGTTCATCTGTTGTATGTTGGATCATCATATGTCTCATTGGGTCATAAGAAGTCAATGCTACCTCGCGTGGTGATATCTGGGGGTAAAAGAAAAATAAGATGCAGGAAATTAAAGCCGTCATGACAGCCAGCCCATCGAGAAACGCCCCCAGGCAGAACCCAAAACCAAACATGAACTACGCCAAAACATGATCCGGATATTCCGGCTTCCTCCAGGCACATACAGCCCCACGGAAGATGGGAAAAGAAAATAGAAAAATCCCTCCTTTAACCCCTTTTATCGTCGACCAGCAGCCAGCAACATTAATTGATGAAAGCTCAGAACGCCGCAACCCGTCTTCCTGGTCGTTTATTGTATGAGAAAGATGCATGAGAAATTGATGGCTAGGAAATCAAGTGCATTAAGTCGTAAAGCCCGCTCTGCGACCTTGTGGATGCTCCACGGAGAGGGAATCACCGCCTCCAGCCGACGTTCCATATCACATGTGCAATGTCCTTGGCTGTGTTTACGGTGTCTGCCACACGGTCAAAAATGCTTGCACTCAATGGTTCATCTTCTTCGTTGGGTGTTATTCCTCCCGGAGACATCGAATGGAAGTAGTAATCGAGCTCCTCGTCATCTTCTGGATTCACAAACCAAGGACGGCTTAGGCTTCCTATGCCATATGAGTTGCGGCTTGGTTCCCAGTCGAATTCCACGTCATTATCTTCTTCATCAAGAAGGAAATTAGCAGATGGCGTGATGTTCCTGCCAGATCGTGCACTTTTCCGCGTCGACTTCTCGGCTCCGGACGAAGTAGGCGACGTGGAGTTCAGGAAGTAGCTGGACCACCGACCCATTATTGAGGATGCTGGTGATTCCGATGTGGTTTGTCCGTTCCCACGGGCATCCCCTCGGCCATCTGGCAGATCATCCGGATGGTCCGACGCATCCCATCGGTACTTGAGTGTGGTAGAAGGAAGCGGGGCAATGGTTTTGTTTTCACCAGTAACGCTACCACGAGGCGTACCTTTGTCGCTGAGCGACGAGTCAGAATGAATGTGTTTCATCATGACGATACCATCCTCTGATGACTCATCCCCGAAATGAGCAGGCCATCCATCGTCTTCCTCTTTCGCTTCGACAGCAATACATTGCACCACCTCGTTGTTGAAGTGAATATGCCGTCGTTCGCTAGGGGTGGCCGACGTTGATGTATTGGTGGCGGTACCCTTAGCAGTACCCCCCACGGGAGTGGTGGACGACTTGCTAAGCATATGTCCAAACTCCGAGGAGGCCCTCTGTAATGGGGGACGGTTACGGTTGATCTCGGCCTCCTGTGCTTTTAAAATGGCTCCCGCATGTTGCAAGAGCGTATGCTGGGACAGAGAACGCTGCAAGATGGTCTCAGAAGCCGTTCTCTTCTTCAATATCGGTTTCCTATCCGGGTACAAGGTCGGTGTCTCCAAGCGGCTGGGAGGAGGAGAGCCATTGAATGCTTTCTCCCGCTTATTGCACGTCTTTAAGGGTCCGTACAACCACGTCACATCGCAGTCCTTCAGCCTATTGGGAGTGTTAGCATCAAGCCCAAGCCTAAGGGACTCTGTCCAAGAACTGACCAGTTGAGGGCTTCTGGCGATACCGTACCCAAATTGAGTTTCAGCTTGGCCCACGTCCTCCACGAGGCATTCTCTAGCCTTGTCCCATTTTCATATATGTTCCTCCGGGCGACGACGTAACGCCATGATGCCCAAATATCCTCCTGTCTCCATTCATGAGATAGATAATCCACGTGCCTCGATGGCTCATCCTCGATTGTACTATCATCAGCAGCCGGTGCCTGTGTCAGGCGTGGGAAGTCCGCCGAGGAGTCCACAGACACATCACTGAGGGCTTCAGGCTCCTTCTGTGCGAATTGGCTGGAATCGTACGACGGCAGGACCAACTCGTCATCATCATGGCCCTCACTCATAAGAGATAGACTGCTCAGAGTCGCAGGCGTGGGAGGGAGATTCCCCACGGCTGTAATAGTGAAATCCGGGGATGGAGACGCTGACCGCGACGGGGAGGACACCACGGCATCAGAACGATCCTTGTGATGATATGCGGGCAGATTAAATTTGGTTGTGGCAACACTGGGCTCTTCGAGGAAGTAGGTTTGGGTGATTGGACTTCGCAAAGGGTCCGGAGAAAAGCGTGATCGCCCCTCGTTCGAGGCGGGAAGTATGGCCGTCATCCTAGCAGCTCAATCAGGTACATAAGGGCAGACTGCGAATGGAATGGCCGTTGCAAGGGCTGGAGTTGAAGCAGAAATGGTGGAACAATTGATTGAGATAGAATGTTTCGTCTCCAATGGAAAGGCGCGAGAGGCGTCGAGGAAAGGCCCGCTATCTAGGAATGGCGACAAAGTGCTGAGATCATGGTACAGTATGGGGTAGGCCAGAGTAGGATTTGATATTGATTGGCAGCATATATGAAGGGGCAGCTAAGGCGCCTCGGAGATGTTATAGGGCGAGAGAGCTAGTAAGATGTATGTTGAGGAGCCATCAAGGTGTCAGGGAGTGAGTGATATGCGAGAGTTATTAACGGCTCCAAACAAGCCCCTCGGAGGGGGGTGGAGAAGGCCTTTTGCTCGGTCGCACGAAAGGATCGGAAACTTGGATGGGGTCGAAGCTAGATTAAGATGAAAGGTCGGGAATAAACCAGCGTGTGTATGGGAGTCGCAGGGTGAAAGGCAAGAGTCGTAAAGTAACGTTGACGGGAAGCGGCGGGAAACCGGAAATACCTGTCTCTCTCTCTTCTTTTGCGAGTGCGAGTTTAGTGATAGTGGCGAGTGGAGATGCGATAATGCACTGGGGGTTCGACCGTTGATTCTTCTTTTTTTTTGGTATTATTATTTTTTATCTTTTCATTTTCGTTTTGATAAAAAGAAAATCTCTTAATTCTTCCCAGGTACTAGACCAGGATCTAAAGAGTCTAGATACCCGATGGTAGGGGGGCGAAGGGGGGAGGAAGCGTTGATGTCGCGCGGATCAAGTGAGGTTTGGTAGATAAACCAACGAGAAGGATCAGAGACGCAGGGTACCGCGTCGATGGCTTGGCGGAAGGAGGATTTGTTGGAGAATTGATTACGATTGACGTACGCGTGGGTTAAGAAAGAAGTACGAGGATATTCCCACCCCCCTTTCCCCTCTCCTTCGTATCTAGCAGTGCACAGTACCTAGGAACGGGTACCTCCCAAGGAGGGCATCAAACAAGGTTGAACCAGCACACAGAAGAATCTGTTCGGTGCTTTTCTCGATCTTGTTTGCCACCAAAGAACCAAATGCTCGCAAAGTGAATCATGACGACGGTACCTCGAATGGAAAACCGGCCGGGTGGGGACGAAGCAGTTACGCTAAGACATGTCGGTCTAGTCTCCAGCAACTTTTACTCTTTCCTGTCTAGTGCATGTATTCTGGCTCATTGCTGATTGGTTGGCACTGGAATGGTGTAACTCTCGTGGTGCATGAGTGTGGGTCACATTAAGCATTTCGCAGCCCGCCATTGGCTCTCGTTGAGGTGGGGTTAGACCAGTCTTGACACCCGAACATCGACGATC